CGCCTCTGCCCCGAAATAGGCGGCGATGGAGGCGGCGCGGCCCCGCCGCGGCCCCAGGGAAGGCGAGGGCCGGGCAGGCGGCGGGGGGGCGGCGGGGCTGGGCTCTGCTTGAGCTGGGGCTGGGCTCTGTTTCAGCTTACTGAGCAGGATGCCACCGATTCTATGAATTAAAAATATTTTTTTTAAATTTTATTTTATTTTTTTTTAGATGTATGTTTAGTTTTCTTCTAGTTGGGTGATTTTCTTGTTGGGTTTGGGGTTTTTTATTTTGTTTTGTTTTAAAGGCATTGTTTAGGAATTGTGTACCCTGAAACAGCAACAGTTTGTGTATACAGAGGAACTGCCGTGAGTCCCGAGACACTCTCCTAAGCTGTCACTTTCGTGATCCTGGCTTTTCAGGACTCTGAGGTGGCATACAATGACCTAAGCCACTATGGCAAGGGCTAATACTCCTTTTCTCAGCTGAAACTACCCAACACTTTTCTTTTTCCTTTTGATTTGCAGTTACCTGAAGTGCTTGCAATAAGGCTTATCAGGAACAATGTCTGGTTGAAAGCAGTAGGACGCTGCACAAGGTCCTTTGTGGCAAGGTAAATGAACAGCAGCCATACTGTGTATCAGTGATCAGTCATATTTGAGATGCTCTGCCAGACCAGGCAGTGTTTCTGGGAAGCACTGTAATCCCTGTTGAGCTGCACATGTGTTTGCATGGGTTGAGACACGCAGACCTACATATTTCATCTTAGATCCATGTGTTTTCCACCAAATAAAACTGATGGCTCCTACTTTCACAGCTCAAACACAGGAAAAAACAGCATTAAAAAAACTATAAACTTTAATTAATCTCTTTTTTTTTCATCACTTTTAATAAATTGCACTGTTCAGATTTTACTTTCTTATATATTTATGTAACATGTTGGTTGGAAGGGAGCTTAAAGATAATCTAGTTCTGAACCCCCTGCCATGGACAGGGACACCTTTCACTAGACTGAGTTGCTCAGTTTCATCCAACTTGCCCTTGAACATTTCCAGGCATGGGGCATCCACAGCTTCTCTGGGCAACCTGTTTCAGTGCCTCACCACCCTCACAGTGACAAATTTCTTTCTAACAACTAATCTAAACCTACTCTCACTTTGAAGCCACTCTCCAGCTCTCTTGTTGGCTCCCTTCAGGTACTAGCAGGCTGCATTTTGGTCACCTTGAAGCCTTCTCATTTCCAGGCTGAACAATCCCCATTCTCTCCTCCTTTCCTTGTCAGGGAGATGCTCCAGCCCTTTAATCAACTTGGTGTTCCTCCTCTGGACTTGCTCCAACAGGTCAATGTCCTTCCTGTGCTCATGACCCCAGAGCTGGATGCAGTACTGCACGTGTGGCAATTGTTAAGAGTGTTCCTCCTTTGGACTTGCTCCAACAGGTCAATGTCCTTCCTGTGCTCATGACCCCAGAGCTGGATGCAGTACTGCACGTGTGGCAATTGTTAAGAAAGAACAGCCTAGGTTATAAATGGTTTTAGAAATTGTATTGTAATTTCTCTAATGTAAAAAAAAAAAAAAAAAAAAAAGATAAAAAAAATGCGGAGTCTGTTGTAATTAGTGATTTGGAGTTAATTGTGCATCGCAAACAATCCACAATACTAAGAGATTACTGTTTCATTGCAAAGACTTTTGACCTGTATGCTGGTTTTCAGCAGGACTGTTGGAAGATGCAGCTGGTGAAAGGCCCCTGAACCCCTAGTGCAGGGAAGCTTGCGATTTAGGTGCCATTAAACCCTGTGCTGCCTGCCATAGCTGTTTGCCAGCTGGAGCATCAGGCCTGGAGCATCTCGGGGTGCTCCTTCATAGCCCCGTTCCTCGGGCACACCCCCAGGCCTGATCTGCTCTTGTCTGGTCCCTGTAGAAAATGTGGAGACAGCGACAGCGCTTGAAATGTTGCCTGGGAGCTTCTGTAGCCCTGGAATGCGGCACTTCCACGAGCACATCGCCACCACGTGGCTTTTTCTGCTGCTTGCACCCGCGGCTGCTCAGCCAAACCCTGCTTTTTGTGCTGTTGTGGAGCACTTGTTTTGTTGTAAGGAAAAATGTATGTAGGAATTGCGTACCCTGAAGTAACACCACTTGGTGTGTCTAGGGAGACCATGGAAGAACTGCCGTGACTCCCGAGAGACTCCCCTAAGATGAGGTATCAATTTGTTTGGAGTTTAACCTCAAGCTTCCTCTCAAAGGATTTAGGCACCACAGAAATGGGATATGTGAGCAGGGACCTTAACTCGTAAGAGCTTTGCAGGAATGTGGAAGCGCTTTCTGGCACTCAAGGGGTCTAGCTTGGGGTATGTGTGATTGGCTTTGGGATGTGACAGTCCACTGTGTGACAGGGCAGCACAACTCCTCTTACACAGAGTATTTTGGCATGGAGGGATGGGTGACCTCTGGGAAGCTGAAGGGAGATGCCATGGAAACTTATCTGATGTGGGAGAGGAAAGGGTTCTTTGCAGGCTGTGTTTCTGTCCATTCTGCAGTGCAAAGCTATCTCTTGGGCCCTACGCCATCTCCAGCCAACCAGAGGCAAACCATACGTCCCCTGTAAGCCAGTTGGCACTTCCTAATTCATATGGAAATCCTCATTGTCCAGGAGGATGAATGGCAGTTCATGGCAAGTATTGCCCCAGAACAGAGCTGCAGGAACATCAGAACTCGCCCAGCACCTTGCAGTGGGTGTTGTTCGCACTGTTTGGAGAGGTGGGTCAGGCAGGGCAGCTCCACATGGAGGAAAAGCGGGATGGCTTCTGCAGCTCAGGCCTCCCGCAGGCGACAGCGGTGTGTGCACTGAGGTACTACCGCCAGCTGCAAGAGACCGTGCTGGCCTTGCCAGGGTGGATTGCACTAATGACGTGAAGGCCTGGGGACACTTTTGAAGCATGTTTCAGAAAGATGTGAGCCTTAACCTAATATCCCTCTTGCACAGAGGAGCCTAGAGCCGGGCACAGCACTCCGGATGTGGCCTTAGCAGGGCTCTCCAGAGCAGGATCACTTCCCTCGACCTGCTGGCAGTGCTCTGCTAACACCTGAGCTCCTGGCGGCGAGCAGCCAGGCTCCCAGGGCCCGTCCTGTCCCGGAGGTGCGGCCGGGCCGGCCCTGCCCGGGAGCGGCTGCGGGGCGGAGCCGGGCGGAACGCCGCTGCGCGGAACGCCCGTGCGCGGCCGCTGTTGTGCCGGGGAGCGCGGCGGCGGCGGTGCCGCCATGTGGGGCCGTGGTGGCGGCCTGGCGGCGCGGCTGCTCGGGGCGGCGGCGCGGCCGCACGGCAGGGCCCGCAGGTACCGCCTCCCCTGCCCCTCACCTGCCGGACGGGCAGTGCCGTGAGGCCGGGCAGTGTCCCGGGGCGCGGCCTTCAGCGGGACGGAGCTCGCTGTGCGGCGGGGCTGGGTGGTGGGGTGGGCAGAAGGCGGCGGGGAATGGAGGCGGGTGGAGGGGAGTGCGTGGGCCGTGTTTCTCGTGCTGCTGTCCTTGAACGATCCGCGTGTGTGACCTGACCGCAGTTCTGCCCCCTGTATCAGCAGAGCGGCGCTGCCTGCCGGGCGTTGTTGTTTCTGCACAAAGTACGGGCTCAGGGCAGTATTTGGGAGTTCTTCTTCGTTTTTACTAAAATATTTTAAGCTGCTTTTAATGTCAGACAGCTCAGTTGTGCGTTCATTTTTTTTAATTTATTTTTTTTTAATTTCATAACTCCTCGATATTTTTGAGCAAGCACCGGTGCTGTGATGGCCTCATGTGCAGAGCAGCTCGGGTTCTTTGGTAGCTGTGTTTGCTTCCCCAGGCCAGGCTCCCCAGCAGCAGGCAGACTGGATGGCAGGTGAAATACAGGGATGCAGAGTGCAGTGTGCTGCTGGCTTTAAGTGCCTGAGGCTTTCAGCCTTGCTGCTGCTGTAGGCTAAGATAAGGCTGAGAAGGTTGGAGCTGTTTGGCCTGGAGAAGGGAAGGTTGCGTGGAGACCTCATAGCAACCTGTCTGAAGGAGGCCTGCAGGGAAGCTGGAGAGAGACTTTTCTTCAGGAATATGAGTACAAATTGCGTCAGGAGTAATGGGTTCAAATGGAAAGAGGGGAAATTTAAGTTCAGTATTGCAAAGAAATGCTTGTGCTTGAGGGTTGTGAGATGCTGGACCAGGTTGCCCAGGGAGGTTGTGGATGTCCCAGCCCTGGCAGTGTTCAGGGCCTTGAGTGACCCAGTCTAGTGGGAGGTGGCCTTGCCTGTGGCAGGGAATGTTAGGGCTGGGTGATCTTTAAGGTCCTTTCCAACCCTTCAGCATTCTGTGATTTCTGAATGGTTGCATAGTTTTAAGGAGCATGCCGCCTGAATTAACAAAAAAGGACTTTGTCAAGGACCTGTGCGGAACAGTGCAGTGTAAAACAGCAGGGCTCATACCATCTTCTCAGTAATGAGGTTCTGAAGCTTTCCTTAAATTTTCCTGTTGCTTTTCAACATTGGAATTTAGGTTTTAATGCTGACAGTGTATCAAGTGCAGAGTGACCGAAGTGTGATGCAATGCCTGCTGAGACTGGCAGATTTTCCTTTTAGCCAGAGAGAGATGTGTGTGAGGAGGAGAGGTACGCCACAATTCCTTCCGATTTGTGGAAGTGTTTTAAGATCTATTGAAGTTTTTTATTTTGAATCAGAGTAAATATTAATTTGTTTATTTCTGTAACTTGAGGGTGATTTTTGAACAAAGTAAGTAGGTGTGAATGTAAAGGTTTAAACACTGCATTTTAGAATGTTATAGAGAACAGCTCTTTGAATTTTATGATAGATTTTCTAAAGGATGCAGCTGTGTCTGTGTTGCAGAATCTCCTGAGCAGCTCTTTGCTGTCCCTGGCTTCACATCCTGGGCTGCACTGTGTCAGTTTTAGCTTCTTTGCAGTGATGTGCTTAACTAAGTAGAGGAGCTATAGCCCAAATAACTTTCCTGTTTGTTTCTGGGTTAACTTGCAGCAG